GAGGCGAATAAATTTATTTCAGGCCGACTTTTCAAACAGCCAAAATTTCAGTGATTAAGGTATGAATTGTTGATGATTGCCACTGTTATATGGTCCGAAACGTCGGCCTAAAATATTTGTTCTAATCATCTTTACGCCTTTAACTATTTTACAGAAGACGTCCTATTTTGGAGACTTCTTACTTTAAATATTTGCATTCTGTGAGTGTGAATTTTAAAATGTATTAAGATTTAGAATTTAACTTTTGTTTTCCGCGTCGTTAAATCTTGTGTATTAAAATTTAAATTTGTAACTAAGCGTCACTTTTGATGAATTAAAATTTTAAATTATATCTCGTTTCAGATTTAGAGTTTTTGTGCGTTTGCTGTTCGGCACGATGCCTTTCAAATCAAAGGTATACTTTACCTTGCTTTATATGTATTTAAATTGTTATTTTTGGTGAGTATTAAGTACATAGTTTTAATAGGATCGTACATGATTTTCATATACAGAGAGATATATTTTTTGGAATGTCACAGTTATTCTCCAAGTTCACTTTGCAAGTTGCTCTGAAAATCTGTCGAAATGCCCGGAAATGAAACTTTTGTGTTCACCTATTTGTGATATTCTGAAAGATATTAGAATTACATCTGCAACTGTCTTCTGGAAATCAAATATTGTGTCGAAGTTTCTGCCAATAGCTTCTGTATGCCATTAGGCGGAAGGACATGGGTTATCGGCAAAGGTAGGCGGAGTTCTGTGCGCTGAGGAAATGCGTTTGAAATACGCATTTTGATTGTACTCGTGGTGCTCAAGTTTACTACAATTTTATAATCGAAGTTTGCACTATTGGCAGTTTATTTTAATGAAATTCAATATTAATCCTTTATGTTTGTTTTGTTCTGTATATATGAGCATGTTAATGGTGTCTCAAGGTGGCCTCTGTTGCTAAATACAGCTACGTTGCACAAAACACGGTTTCTCTATACACAGCACAAAAGTTTGATCAATTGAATGATCCTTCTGGTCAATCGTTGCACAAGTTGTGACTGGTTGATTATTGAACATACTGTATTTTAATCGGTTGTCCATTGCACATTGTGGTATTTTACACCTCCGTATTTTCGCAAATATGCACAGCAAATAATTAAGCGAATACAGATCTTTTTTTCACGTGATTATTCTTGCTTAGAACGTTTTGAGTTGAGCCAAATAGTGAAAGACTGTTGGAACTTGGTTGTCTGACGCCGCTTCCGGCAAGTTCAAGGTTTTTAAAGGAATATCTTTACGCATATTTTTCGGTCTGCCTCATTTTGTCCCTACTTTAGCAATCACATGTTTCATTCTGATTCAGATGCTTGATCATACGGAACTACGATGTAACTGTAATGTCTGAAATTAAATGTATTAAATGGTGGCGTGGTGGCATGGTGCCTAAGAGGTCGAATTTTAACTCAGGAGGTGCTGGTTCCAGTCTGCTCAATGGGCCACAGTTTCCCTCCAGCAAGGACTTAACCTCACATTGCTTCGGCGCAACTAGCCAGAAACTGGTGTTAAGTCGGTGACTTGCGAATAACAGGTACAGCGTAGTGTTCTGTTATGGCCATGCCGAGGTGTGCCGTTGTGCTACCCGTTGCAAACGTCAGTCCCTAAAATGCAGTTCATCGGTTTCTTTTAATTTTGTCATTATGATAAAATTTACTACACTTCCGAGACGTTGTTGTGAAATAATGGAGTTAAGGCAGTTGTCATTATTGCTTAATCTTAGCATACCATAAGTTACAAGTTTGAATCACATTTCTGTTGGATTTGTTTCGTTCTGTATTTCCCTTTCAGCGTTATAGAACTGTTGTTTTCTATAGTCTAAAGAGCCAGTAGTCAAGCAGTCGAAGAACCAGCGCCTTACGCGGCGGAGAGTAAGTTTTAACATTTTGTTAGCTTAATATGCTGTGTATTAATTTAGGCAGTGAAGAAAGAAACATCGCTGGTTGAAGAAGCTCCAGAGAACAGTTCGGAAGCTGCGTCTGTCGAGGCGGTGAGCTCATTCCGTATTTTCTACTTGTTGCTGAAAATTTTAGTTTATGCCTTATTTGTGATTATTGCAATGAGGAGATTGCACCGTCACTGGCCTTCGTAAAATAGGGCATACGTAATCTTCGACATTTTCGAAATGGAGGTCAGACCAATCAAGTTTTCCTTCATTAGAAGAAATGAAAGTATGTAGCGGTTGTTGTTTTAATTTTCGCCTGTGGCTAGCTGATTTTAAACAGTGGACTAATCCAGGTTTATATCTGTCCTTTAGAACCGGTATCTCGAATTGTTATTGGACAAGGTTAATCGCTGTGGCAAACATCGTATTCTTCGTTTCCAGCAGGTCTGACTCAGTGAGAAGTTGTTAAGTTTTATAATACCCTCTAACGAGTTTGCGGTCAACATGTGGTTCTGCACCTGCGCCTCAGTTTCGGCAGAAGGTAACCCGAATCTGAAGCAGAGTTTTTCAATGTACTTGCTCTAGGTTCTTCGGTCGTTAGGTCGAACATGCAGTAGCTGTTTCGCCTACTTTTTTGGAAACACTAGCAAAATGTACCCAAACCATCGCAGCTGTGACTTCTCAGTCTGAAGGCGCAGCGGTTGTGCAACAAGGCTCTCAGATATCGTTATTCTGGTTTCTTTCGAGTCGCGTAAACCCAGCGATACTTATCAGAAAACCCATTTAACTCGCTTTTACCCGGGATCGAAGTTTTCCGCTAATAACCGTTGGTGAGCGTCAGGTTGAATATGGACATGAATACGGACAGCTTTGTCTACAGACTCCGCTCTGCTTTCGTCAAAATGGTTCTAGATAATTCACGTAGAACGCCGCTGACCATTTCAATCCACCTACTGTTCTTTTCTCCCATTTTCTAAGATATTCTGTTCCTTCGTAATAGGGCGTTCGGATTTATACCTCAGGACTCTTAGAATGCGTTTCTTTCCACCTCTGAGGTATCAAAATATCTGCGAAAATGCCTCATTTGCCGTCTGGAAATTCGAGTTGAGCTTCTCTTCAAACTTTACCCCGTAATTAGCGTTCTGTTTAACCTCTGCCGTAGGGCGTATTTTCGTATTGCATTTGAATTAAAGGCTCTTTATTTCCACGCCACCTCTTGAATGCAGCCTTTTTCTCCCTTATTGCCAGCTGAACCTTTGTTGTCCACGGGAATTTAATTGCCGACCTCCAGGCGGCAGGCCAACCAGTTTTAAACCGTAACCTCCGGCAGTCCCGTGTAAACCACTTGTAAGGAGCTTCAACTAGGTTTCCATGTCAGCTGTCATCACTGGGACTTATTCAAGCCGTTATTTGTCTTTGTTTGCAAGTTTTGACCTCGTATTCGAAAAAGATGAGGTTTTACATTTGTTTCTCTTGTTCTTCATGGCAGCAAGTTTTCTCATCGTTAGCATCGGAGAGTAGCAACAACGTGTGATCGGTTGACAGCGTAACTGGCTACAGTATGGGTATTCATAGTGACCGTAGCATACTTTTCCACCTTATCCATCTTCTTAAATCCTGGATTTTGATCCTCACAAAGGACAGTACGATGTGATCATGGCTAAGCGACCGAGTCATTGTGCGGTTCAGGTGACCTGAATATTGTATCAAAGTCTCCATGCTCTCATCTGCACTCATTTTATGATGCGCAGGTCTTCTCACAGCATCAGGGTATTATTCCAGCAAAGCCATCCTCTACTCACAAAAGAAATGCAGATGACGCTTCGCTGGTACTAAGAACCCAAGGTTTTCCACACTATTCGGTACTGTGCTTGTATCAAACCTTACTGTACTGTAAGGAAGAGTTGCAGTTAATGCAGTTACAGTTCATTTCAACGTTCATGCAAGACCTCAGAGTGTTTGTCCTGCACTGGCTTTGAACGCCGGTTCAGTCAGTCGTTTAATCTCATAATTGTATGTACTGTGCCACTGATTTAGCACAAACGTTTCACATCTCCACCAATCATCTCGTCACTGACAAACCGAGTGACCAGATTTTAAACCAACATTATACCGATCACGTCCCTATGATTTGCTTCATGACTTGCGCTTCAAGACGATTCACTTGCTGACAGATCGCTATACAGTGACGTACAACTGACTGTATAAAAACTTGCTTTTAGTTTAAAATCGCATTATTAAATTAGACGAAATGATCTAAATCTTTTTCTTACTTGCGAATTTTTTTTCTGTTAAGCCAGTGCACGAAGAACCGCCAATGAAACAAGTTGCGCTAA